ATATAAAGCGCTTTTGGACACCTCACTTTTCGGACTTCTGATTCGGCTTGCGTTGTAATTGTCTTTATATTTAATTTATTGTAACTTTTATTTTTCTACTCTTTTCTTTTTAGTTTCTTCATCTCTTTATAATATTTAATTCTCTCTGTTCCGGACATAAAATTCTTCTTTTCTGCAATTAATATTTTACCTATTTATTGACAAATTACCATATTTGTTTCATTTTAAATAATAATTTAATTTCTTTTTGTTAAATACTACTAGTATATATTTTTCCTTTGCAGTTGTTATCTTCGTTTCTAACATAGCCGTATAAAGTTATTTCGATACTTGAACAGTTAATAGCGAAATTTATAAGTTTGTTATTCTGTTTTGTCCTCTGATCTTAACATGAAATCGAACCGTAATTGTTACTTGAAAACAATAGAATATCGTTCATATATTATATGATAATACGAATAGCTTTCAATTTCGATGGGCTAGGTGGGTGAGTGGCCTAAGGGGTTCATATAGTGATCACGAGCCTGGCGATTTTAAAATACGCTCGTGGCGAAATTTGTTGGACTCCGATCCTAATTAACAGTTAGTGTCAGTTATCTAACCGAAGGTTGCCTGATGTCTGGCTTCCTCCACCTATTAATATAGTTCGATAAAATACAATAAAGGTCGCTTATAGTGGCGTTCAACACCAAAACACAAAACAAACATTTAGATTTAATTTGAAAACACACATATATATAGCGTCCCGAATCGACAACGTTCAAAACGTAAGAAAATTGTAAAGTGGACAAACTTGCAAGACATTGGATTTGTTCAAAAACGAAGTCGTTTCGACTTAACAACTTATCAAAAAGTATATAACTGTTATGTGGGGTTAAAGTACAATTACGCAAAATCACTATTTTGTATGCTACAAATCAATTTTTTTTATTAAATGACGTCGAAACTGACAGTTTACTTGTAAAAAGCGGCGAAATTCGACATTGGACATTCTTGCAAGACATTTGTCCAAAGCCAATGCGTTTTTATTTGTGTTGTGAGTGTTGTAAAAATCCGGATTTGAAATGGTCTATCTATGTACTTTTGTGGGAATAATTTATGAAAACGAAATTTCATATCATCTAATATTTTAAAAAGCCATAACTTTTGATAACTTACCATTTTCTGAAATCTGACCATGGTGAAGATTATTCATTTTTGAAAAAATCAGCTTTGACCGTTGCAACAACGCAAAAATCAGCAATGACGTCATAAATTAAATATGTGGTTTATCATTCATGCGAATTTTCGCGGATTTTACACTCTTTCTAAGAGCACAAAAACTCCCGTAAAAGTTATTATGCGTATAATTTGTTAAGTCTGACACGCACATTTTTGACGTTTTGACAATATTTGTATCATTATTTTATACTATTAAGAAAAGTTATAAAATAATTTATTATCTTTTTGGAAACAGTAATACCTGCCTAGTCGATGGATATAAATTCTATAAAGCTTAACTATTTAGATTTCATAGAAGAGCTGTTTATCCAAGTGCTCTGTCGGATTTCACGGTATTGACGCAATAGCGTGCTTAACGTCATACGTTACGGAGTAGATGACGTATGGCAGTCCCAGGAAAATACGTGACACACGTTACGGAGTAGATGACGTATGGCAGTCCCAGGAAAATACGTGACACCATATTTTACACGCCGTTGTTTTATGTTACAGTGAATAAGTAAAATAAGCGATTTTGTAAGATACCTCAGGAGTTTTGTATTATCACCGATTTGACTAGTTAAGGAGTAGGTTCACGAAGGGTCCATATTGGCCCTAAATTTCTGTGAAGTTTAACTTTAGTAAGACAAATAAAATTTTAATAGTTTTTGCTTCAAATAAATGACGTTGGCCACATACATTATTCTCTATTCTGTAAACCCCCATCCACAACCTCTTTTTACATATCAACTGTTTAATTCAGGAAATTTAAAAAATAAAATATGATTTTTATTCACAACACTTTTTATTTGTTACTAGTAATCTGGATTTTCACAAAATGCAGCATGAACATTGTTAAGTGAGGTAAAATTGTTGAAGTGGATTTTTCAAAAAATCTAAATATTGGTAAGATGTGGTTTTTAAAGTATTCTGCAGAGATACAGACACAATAAAAATAATAAAAAACGACAATATAGACAAAGTAAGAAAAGAGGGAGACTTCACAAAATTCATGATTTTACAAACTTACTGTAATATAAATATTTTACAGTTTATTTGTGAAATCGGGTTCTTTGTAAAATACCTGAAATATGTAGAGATTTTGTAAAATCGCTAGTAGTTTTAATGACCTTTTTACGAGCCTTTTTCTTTAGTTGTTTCTGTCTCATGTATTGTGTAATTTTCATATTCGTTTGAATCAATGTCGTATGGCCGACTGTACGGTATGTTTTTTTTCACATTGTTGAAGGCTGTACGGTGACATATGATGGCTTACATCCACTTATTTGAACTCTTATGGATAGTTGTCTCATTGGCATTCATACCACATCTCCTTCTTTTTGTAAATATACCGTTGCAAGTTTAGAAAAAAGTATTAAAAAAAAAATAAAGAAAAAAGAAATTATCATTTTGCAATTCAAATTCAACGAGGAAACTACATACATGTATGTCATGTAGGTATTCTGTTTATGATATTCATTTGTTTCTCATTAAACAATGTTTAATTTAACAAAGTTAATCAATATAAAACAATAAAATGAATTTGAAACAATGCAAAAATTTGCATTAAAATATGTACTCCTAACTATTACATGTGTCAGATCCATACTTTAATTGATAAAATGTAATCTTCAAATTATGATCCATCCTATTTAATCTGTTATCTTGGTTATTACAATCAATATGATCTGATTTTGTTTGTTAATTCTTTCTTTTAATAATTATAACAATGTTTGTCTTAACTATATATATAGCTATTCAAGAAAAATAATCCCTTCACCAAAATAACCGAATTTTTAATACTCATATGAACTGCTTTTTTAACATCCTGTAAGGGTATGCCGTACGCGTTACTCTCTATTGGTAGGTGTTTGCTTCCTGCGCTGTTGTTTTTGGAAGGATGTCGGGCTCATAATTACCAGTTATTTAAGAATATCCTGCTGTTCATATTATATATATAGCACGCTTTAACGAATTAACGTATATAATTCACGAAAAGCATAGCTTTGAGTGGATTAAATATGTTTTATTAATAACGCGTGTCTATATACGATGTGTAACATAAATAGGCGATGCCACATGTCAAAGGTTAAACTTAACTGTACTTTTCATGAATTACATATGCATGATATGTCAATCAAATAGTGGCGCTTTTTATGACAAAACTCAGAAAATGATCTCATGGATCACATTTCTTAGTAGGATTTGATTTTATGATACATGTTCATGTAAAGGTATTGTTGCCGTGATAGGTTCATCAAGGTTTAAAGACCTGAGAGAAATGTAATTGTTATTGAAATGCTTTTCCCCGAAAATCCGTGAGGGGGCAGATGCAAAATCTTGTTCGATGTATACCATGTTTCCTGCTTTCAAAACCAATAGGACGTTTAGTTTTAGAAGAGTTAAAAGTTGTGATGAGAAGAAAACGTTTTAAAACTTATTATGAAGGTATTCTGCCTTTCCCAATAATAGGAAAAAAGATCGATTCATTAATTGATGTTTTGTTGATTGCGTGATGTCAAGAGACAAATATTGTAAGCAAGCTCAATTCATGAAGATATACCTTTGAAAAGGGGAGGAAATGAAACGACTGAACATCCAGTGACATATTTTTGGAATATTTATTTTGACACGCTGAAAACAAGTAAGTATCCACCAATTCATCAATATCGTCTCATCATTATAAACAACGTTATTCCTGTTTGTAGCTCTCCTCGGGCATTCATTTGCTTCAAATTTATGGAACTATATGTAATTTGGGTTTAGGTTAACAAGTTTGACAAGATAAGTGTTAGGATAAGCCATCCTTTTCCGAATTTATGTTTTGATAAATTGTTGTGTATGCATTTATTTAAATTTATTGGGAAATTTTATGGTCATTGATTTCATTATTTACTGGGTCAAGGAGGCGGAGCCAGACTGTGCAATAACAACACTGTGAATGAAAGTTTGAGCACTGGTCTTAGCTACTCCCACCCTTTGCTTCTCCTATGATAAGCGGTCAACGGCGGAATTGGAAATGGAATAAACATGCTTGTTGTTGTGTGATAGGTCATTGAGATGATAGACTTGCACCCCTTCAATGTCTGCAGTACTAAGCGGATCTCATGCCGCCAATGTGATGCTTTTCATTTATTTGGTGGTGTGGTAAATATGATCAATAAATTACCAAGAAAAAGAGGTATGGGGGTACTTTACACACAAGGCCAGGTGCTTTTCAGTCCTTGAGGGACATCGGGCATTTCCATGTATCATCCTATATATAATAGAGGCAGTAAAGATATCACCATCCTGCTTAATGTAAGAGAGGTTTACTTTAATAAAGAGTAAACAGATTATGCCTTTTAAGGACAGGATACTGTAGAAGATACATAAAGATAGACAGATTTTTGAGGTTTTGAATGGAAAATGGATGTGTACAGTGACTGCTCCATAGGCCCAGACAAAAGGGTTACAGTATGTGGAAAGCATTTATGTGAAAGCAAGCGTCAAGTGGGATGCTTTTGAGCAAAAGGGTAGGACAGGAAGTCCATGTGCCAATAGATTACATGATAACGCAATAGAAAAGTGATGGAAATCATCAATTGTCTCCTTGTCGGGATTAGTTATAGTCATTCAATAACTTATAAGCTTTAAAAGAATATTCACCCATTCGGATCAGGATAAAACATGGTCATATCCTTACTGTGAAAGATGGCTGCCAATAGCATGTATAGTGTTGCTAATGATATTAATGGAGTACTTTTGCCAAGTGAGCGATTCGTATTACAAATACATTATACTAGATTTTCACTTTTCAGATTAAAGGCAAATATGTGGATGATAAAAGATGGGAATATTTTACAGAAGAAGTTGGAAATGAAGGTATGTATATTTTTTTCTGTTGTCTGATATATAGGATTTAATTCATTCAGCTATAGGGGAATCTGTCATTATGTTAATTACTTCTTTTATGAAAAGAGCTGTCTTTTTTTGGCTCTAATGAGCTAAAAGTCCATGTGAGTTATTGCCGTCACTTGACGTCCGTAAACTTTAACAAAAATCTTCTCATCTGGAACCACTGGACCAATTTAAACAAAACTAACTGAATGATCCTTAATATATGTAGTTTATTTTCCACATAACTTTAAATCAGTAACAGCAAAAAAGGAATATTATCTAATTGCAAGGTATACATCTTTATTAATGACTGAATACGTAAAAAATCAACCAATTTAAACCACATATATAACAGAAAGGTTCTTTTTAATGAGTTTACTGACAACATCGTACCATTTCTTTGGTGTGGATCTACAACACAATAGCTTTAGGACAAGTTTTATTAAAATTGGCATGGTGGCATGATTGGTTCCTATTGTAAATATACAGAACAATACCGAAAACTACTCTTTCAATTAAAACCTAATATGTCTGAAAGGTTCCTGGCAGAGTTTTGTAACATATAAGTAGTGGGCTAAGTTATCAAAGTTTGGTGGCACGATTGTAAAATAATTAATATCAAACAAATACATAAAAAGAATAACTAAACATACTGAACTGTTTCAATCTCCAAAGGATATACTCCTTTAGTATCAAACTTCCTGTTAGCCTTTTATACTGTCGTACATTTACACATTCATCGATCATCAACTTCCTGTTTACCTAATACTTGTATAGTCTTTCACATAAAGACAATGTATCAAATTTTCTTCGTATTTTTAAACGTAAGTAAGAATCAGAGCTTCATTCTAAAATCTCACATAAACCATGGTCGTCATGATTTATTTCTAAAATAATTCCAACAAAGAATTTAAAATAGCGACAGTTTACACAAGTTTGTTAAAGGACGAAAAGAAAAAGAGATAAAGATGTGTCTAAAAACAACCACTGGAAAGGTTCAATTTAGTTTCATATTAACATATGGTGGAGTTATCGTCAGTATACTCAACCATCTCACTTTATATCTTTATAAGTGGAAGAAAACCATGAACAAAAAAAAAGTAAATAGAAATCAATTCAAATATGTAATTTCATTTATTCATTATTGAGACAACCAAAAGCACATTTTGAAGTTGAGCAACTAAATGATACTGTTTCAACGAATGCTCACAGGTACTGTTATAACAGTTATCATGCACATGCAAACACAATTGATTTTTTAGGACAGGAATCAATCACCCTGTCCCTCTTACCGTTCGTTCGTCTGTCCATGTGCCTTATGATAACAATTCTCCATCAGGAGCTGCATGGATATTGATGAAACTTTACATTAGTCGATCCAGAGGATGTGCAATAAATACAATATTTTATTCCCTGGCCAACATGTTAAAGAGGAGATATTCAAGTTTCCAATTTTTCATTGCAGTTTTATTTATGAGCAAGAAATTGTTAGAAATATGCATAATACTATGACCAATACAAATTTCAATATCTTAAAGGTCCACATAGTGCAATATACACAGCAAGAGAAACTCCAGTTGGAATTGAGTTTAAGAAGCAACGAAAAGGGCATGTGATACCTAATGCGAAAGGAACATTAACAAAGGTAAAAAAAAAAACACAGCAAAGGTTTTCACACTAATTTATAATATCACTCGTCAAATGAATATGATTGTAAAGAGTTTGTTTATTTATATAATCATCTATACTTGAACAGGAATTGTCTGCATAAATAACCTTTACTGAAGTGTCGAAAAAGTAAAGCTCATTCACTGCTGATCATGGATATTCTCCCTCACTCATTCTGTATGCCTTATTCAATTCTAAAGAGAAATATTCATCATTCCTTCTAGTGTTTTGCATTGCCTTTTCCTAATTTTAGCTCACCTTGCAAAATTGCCTTCACTTGGTGTCCGTTGTTTTTCTTCTGTAGTCCATTAACTTTTACTTTTTTCTTCTCTGAAACTACTAAGCCAAATTGGAACCAAACTTTGCCACGATCATTATTGGGGTATCTAGTTTAAAATACCTGTCCAATGATCTGGCCTGCAAACTAATATGGCAGACATAATAAAAATAGAACATGAGGGTAGAATGCATATATTTTGTCTATTTTCACGAAAACCGTTACAGATTGAGAAAATTTGACAAGACATAAATTTCAAAGTGTCAAGACCTTCATACTGTATTTTGTCAAAAATTGTCAGATGACTCCTAAAGTTTGCATTAGTGTTTTGATTTTCAAATATATTGGCATGGAGCATCACTGACGAGACATTATTTGTCGAAATGCGCATCTGGTGCAAAAAGATTAGTACCGTTTACGTTGTTATAGGAGTTATTGCCCTTTTTTCAGTTTTGTTTATTATCCTGAAAATTATTATTAACGGAGAGAAACATCTATATGACAAAAAAAAATCTACATATATGATACACATGGCCGAAATTGTTAGTGCGTGTATACTCCCCTTTGGAGTTATTGCCCTTTATTGGTGAAATTTACTATTGGTGAAAACTATAGAAGATATAACTGTAAACAGCAAAAAAGATCAAGAAGACAAGATCTACACATAAGTAAACAAGACAGAAATTAGTAGTCAACTTGTTGCATTACCATTGAAGGACGATATTTGTACCCCTGCTGAGATGGAGGGGTATACAGTGGAATACAAGTCAGAGCTTCTTGACATTTGTTATCACTCTTTACGTGAACATGCTATACTATATGATGAATTTCAAATCGATCGATCCTTATGTTGTTTACCAAAAACTTATATTTTCTAACACAATCATATAATGGTAATGTATGAAAGCAGTATCTCACATTTTTGTACCTGTTACCCTTTTTGTGTTTTGGGCAAACATATCTCTGTAAAGATAAAAATGCACAACAAGTCTTTTGTTGAGAAATTAAGTTCTAGTCTACCATTTTCAATAGTAGCCATTGATGATGATGGCCATGCTCATTTATCCTGGTGATCTACATAGACTCTTTACGGCCTTTAGTTTTTACTTCTCCTGGCCCAAAAGTTCAATGTGAGGATACTGCCCTCATGATAAGTCACACATAGAGTTGATAGACATCAAACATTTTGTTTTTCAGGTTCTACATTTTCACAATGAACTAGGATTCATCCATAAAGTAATGATAGAAGAGAATTTTACCTCACCTAAAGCGCCTGACAGGTTTAATTATCTATTTGTAATAGTGAAGTTTGGAGTGTTTAGTCCTAGATCAGATTTCATTTGAAATGTGGTTAAAATGAGAGGAATACATCAATACATTGTGAACATTAGTGACTTACGCATAGCTTGGAGATGAAAACCATTGCTTATTTATGTAACAATATCAGCCGTTAAGATCACAGTAGATGTAAATAAGACGGGCTATTTTAGATACTTTCTTGTTTCATTAAAAAAGTTTTGTTTGGTTAATCACATCAACGAATTTGCGAAAAAATAAAATTCTTCTCATAATAATTTCCTGGGCTAGAACGTGAACATATTTTCATCGAGAAGTATTATTTTTAACCGTTTTTTTGTTCTGAGGGAAAATCTGATAATTAATTTGCGTTGGTACAGCTGGCGGGTAGATTGGCGACACAAGCTGTTTCAACGCAGTGACTAGATAACTGTTCAACCAATGCTTCTCAAAATTTAAATTTTGTTACTGATGACCTTATGGAGGTTAATTAGAATATTTATGATTTTCACGTTTTTTGCTCTTGAGTTATGGTCCTTGATTGACTAGAGATGGCACTTAATATTGAATCATTATTTTCTTTTCAATTTTTCAAACATTATTTCTCATGACAAAATAGGTGTTTAGTCAAGTTCAGTCTGTGGTGAAAGTTTTTCAGATATCAATAACTTTGTTAAACCTTTTTGGAATTTTACCAAGTTTTTTTTTTCTTCCGTATTTTTCTTACAGCTTCTTTATTATCGAGTAATATCATCTAAACATGTTTTATATATCTTTTTTTTCTGTATTTTACTGATAAATAGTGTAAGTGTAGTAGTCAACATAACACGTCATTACTGAAATCAGCAATTGGGTGAAGAGACAAAGACTACCTTGGAACCCTAACAATTTTTTTTGCTGATTCATATTGGACCATCTTTAAATTTGATGGATGGATCCAACTTATCGAACCACAGATACATTCTATAAATAGAAAGAAAAAAAAAACATGAAAAGGGACGGATTTTGAAAATTATAATTTTTTTGTCACAAGGATAGTACCTTCATTTGTATGTATAATTGTGCTTTATACTTTGTGCTAAATGTATCTTTATTGAATGACAAGTTCTAATCGGCATTTGGAAAATATTGTATGTTTCCGTGAATACATTTATTTTAAAGGAATACATTGTTTCTTATTTCAGTTTTGATCCACATGAAAATATGAGGAAGGTCAAAGCTGACAATGATTTTGACAAAATTTGTAAGTTCAGTGTTGAAATATTTGAAATAATTTGCTCTTTATTGTTACAGAACTCTTTAATAAGTTAGTAGCAGGTCTGGAAATTTTATCTCATGTAAAGTCTTTATTGTCAAAAAGTTAAAGGTTAGTTATTAAGAAATCTAATTTTTATACGCCCGTCAAATTTTTGGTATTATGGTATACAAATGTCCGGCGTCCGTCCGTCTGTCTGTCTGTCCGTCTGTCTGTCTGTCTGTCAGTCTGTCTGTCCGGCGTAAACATGTCGCACCGTAACTGAGAATGACTTATCCAAATTTCATGAAACTTAACATAGTTGTTTCTTATGATGGTCAAACGATCTGTATACTTTTTAGTGATAAAAAAATTAAAACTTTTTGAGTTACGGGACTTAGTAACTAAAACAGGTGTGTGTTTTTTTTCACATGTAGCGCCGTATCTCAAAAACAATTTATGATTATTGCTTAAAACTTTACACACTTCTTAGTTATATTAATCTTAAGATCTGTATACTTTTTGGTGATGACTCACAACTTTATTTAAGAGATATTGAGTATTTTGTTAAAAAAGGGGGAGGGGTTTTTCACATGTCGCGCCGTATCTCAAAAACAGTTTATGACTATTGCTTAAAACTTTACACACTTCTTAGTTATATTAACCTCAAGATCTGTATACTTTTTGGTGATGATTCAAAATTTTATTTTTGAGTTATTGAGTATTTTGTAAAAAAAGGGGGAGGGGTTTTTCACATGTCGCGCCGTATCTCAAAAACGATTTATGATTATTGCTTAAAATTTTACACACTTCTTAGTTATATTAATCTAAAGATCTGTATACTTTTTGGTTTTGATTCAAAATTTTATTTTAGAGATATTGAGTTTTTTGTAAAAAAAAAAGGGGGGGTTTTCGCATGTCACGCCGTATGTCAGAAACTATTTATGCTTATTGCATAAAAATTCACACACAAGACGACGGGCGTATCATGCGCTCATGGCGCAGCTGTTTATTTTGCATTGCATCAACAAAGTCGCAGAGGTAAGACTTTGACGTGCTGTTTTTTGTTGTCAGCGTCGCTGGTGTAGGCGCTGTCAAAAATGTATTAGTAGTAATTATGTCAGTTTATGCGGGAACATTAGTGGTAGGTCAATAATATTTTTATGAGGTTGATTTAGCATTGGCGCTTCCCATTTCCATGAAGATAATTTTGATCCGCCGCCTCAGTCATTGTCTATTGACTTTGACACTTTTGCATAGTTTACGTGTTTAGTTTGTGTTTAAGTCAGTTAAAGGGAAACACTTACGATAAATCAATGGTAGTTGGTATGCAGAAGCATAATCATTTGCATTTCTTAATTTTACTGTCCAACTTCAGTGATGGTTCATTGACTTTGAATGTTTTGCATCAGTTTACATGTTCTAAAATATTGCCATTTTAATTCCAAAGTTTGCAATCAACTATCAAAACTACATACAAGCGACTATATTTCTGTGTTAACAGTCAATGATACTTTATAGATGAAAAGCATTGTTTTCCATACAATAGTGTATGGAATTGTAGTTTAACTTAAAACTTTTTCAAGAGTTGAAAGCAAAAGTGTGTTATGGACTGCCTACGATAGTTAAGACCATTATACTTTCGGTCTGAATTTCTGACTGTAAATCTGTTCTTCTGCCACAGTCAATTATGTTTCTTATATACTTTAAGCACTCTGTCTTCTATATTTGCTGTAGTCAAGATACTAGTATTAAGTTGAAAATGTCTGTGTGACAAGGTTTATCTGGCCTTAACCTTATTTTAATGGTTCACTCATCAATGCTCAGTTATTTTGGTTAGGCCCGTTTCTCAGATAGGAAATGCAATAGGTCAAATATCTTTGCTGCATGAAGTTACGAACTAAGGAAAATATCTATAGACATAAAAGGTAGCTTGGGTGTCTTAATTTTTGATTTTTTTTTTAACTTCTGTAAAGACTTCTGGGTCAATATACTTTCAAATTTCATTATAAAAACTGGGTTTCACGGACCTCGTTTTTGTTTGTTAAAATGCATTGAAATTAACGAAATTACAGTTAAATGCTACCGAAATATTAAATAGAAATAGTGGGTTACAGGCCTTATTTTCTTCACAAATCCTCAAAAATAAATTGTCCTATCAAATTCAATATAATTATCTGTTATTGATTTTAAAAGGATTTTTCTGTAAATTATGAATATACTTAATGACACTTAATATTTTGATAGTTTAATCTAAAAATTTCAAGGTTTAGATGTTTCTGTTGTATATTGAATGATACTTAGTAAAATAATTTTAAACAAAACATTATTTTTGCAACAAGCCCAGAATGGATGCTTAGAAAAAGACACCCGATCTACCTTAAGGCATTATTTATTTGAATTATTTTCAATCTTTTTTATAGCAATTCCTGAAATGAGTGCATTCGGTAAGGGAGAATTGGTATTTGTGACTAGACATGAAGTGAAGGAGTTACATGTCAAACCAAAGAATGTTTCAGCTGGGAATATACATGTTGATAAGGTAGGGTTATTTACCTTTTAGTATTGAAGAGGTAACGTATAATACGATGAATAAATTCATGTCATTTATTTTCCTCCGCAACGACCAGGTGTGGAGAACATAGAAATACTGGGGGTTCGTCAGTACCGATCAACTAATTTTAAAGGAGTACTAACCATTGAAAGTAAAAAGTAGACCTCATATGAAAAATTGCATCGTATGCACTCTCAAGCCTACACTTCATATACGATTTTTATGAAATGTATGTCATAGGTTTATATCAGCAATATCTGGGACAAGGTCAAAATTCAGTTCCGAACAGCTATTTTTAAAGGAGGAATGTCCCTTGGAAATAAAAGAAGTATATCGAAAATTGCATTGTAAGAACTCTCAAGCCTAAGTTTCACTGTCAGATATTAATGAAACTTACGTCAACGTTTTATATCAGCAATGGCTAAGATGAGTTTGAAAACCAGTGCCAAACAATTATTTTTACAAAAGGTATGACCCATGGAAATATAAATTCTATTGAAAGTAGCACTGTAAGCACTCGCGAGCCTTCACGTCCTCATATTGTAATGAAATTTATATCAAGGTTTATATCAGCAATGTCTTAGAAGAGTTAAAAAATCAGTGCTGATCAATTATTTTTAACAGATAACTTAGCCTTTTGAATTGTAATAAATATTAAAAATTGAATTGTAAGCACTCTCAAGCCTACATTTCTTTTCAGATTTTTATGAAATATATATCAAAGGTTTATTTAAGGAAGGCCTTAGACAAATTCGATAATCAATGGCGGTCAAATACTTTTATACCCCACCTACGATAGTAGTAGGGGCATTATGTTTTCTGGTCTGTGCTTCCGTTCGCTCTTCCGTCCGTTTGTTAGTCCGACCGTTCGTCCGTCCGTCCGTCTGTCCCGCTTCAGGTTAAAGTTTTTGGTCAAGTAAGGTTAAAGTTTTTGGTCAAGGTAGTTTTTGCTGAAGTTGAAGTCCAATCAACTTGAAACTTAGTACACATGTTCCCTATGATATGATCTTTCTAATTTTAATGCCAAATTAGAGTTTTGACCCCCAATTTCACGGTTCACTGAACATAGAAATTGATAGTGCGAGTGGGGCATCCGTGTACTATAGACACATTCTTGTTTACAAATATGTTATATCCTTGAAAATATTAATTATTTGGAAAATTGCATTGTAAGCAAATTTGTGTTTACATTTCTTGTGAGATATTTATGAACAAGTTTAAAAGAACAGAAACATGTTTATTTGATTATTATATCCTGCTTTAAGAGAAGGAGCTATTTGGCATTCACATTGTTGTCTCTCTGTGTGTACAACAAATGTTTTGATCACACTTTACAGGAGCAGAATGACTCCATATTTGATCAGCAGCTAAGCAAAGTAGTTGACAGATGTTCAAATTTCTTAAATCCATTCAGAAAGATACAAATCAAGGTTACAAACAACAAAAGAAAGCAGAGGGTATCACCTGAAGCCCACACGTCAATTTATTCAGAAAAAAACAAATCATGGTAAAAAAAAACAAAAGCATGAGGAATCGCATGAACCCAAAAAAAAGTCGGACAAGATTTGTTTCTGGATATGACGGGAAAGCCTCTAAATAATTATATAATGTATTCAATATGATTTCAGTTTGAGAGAAACAAAAAAGGACAAGTAAACGTGACTGAAATATTAAAGGACATCCGGAGTAATATCACATGTATTAGAAATCAGCCTCCACAAGGTATAACTAACTTATTTCTCTGCTACCACAAATACGTGCCATGAAAATTAAATTCACAAAATATCATTAAAACATTTACCCGTTATAATTGAACTGTACATTCGGGTTTTCATCACAAAATTTGTTTAGAACATATATCAATAAAAGGAGGTGTGAGGTAAACACTGATGAAACTTACAGCCAAGAAGACAAACAAATTCAAAAGTCTATCTGTGGTATCGTTAATTTTTTAATCTTTATGCAAAAAGTTTAAATTGAAGTATAATGAAAAGAGATCAAGAAATTTTCTACAACTTAGTTAAATCTTAATTTCACGTTCTTAATTGCTAACTTGTGTTTTGGTGTTTGAAAAAAAAATAATCAAACTATAACTTTCTTTTTTTAAGGATCACCACTTGTAAATGAATGTTTCTTTAGAATTGTCAGTATGTTGAAGTTATTATCAGATGACGAAATAAAAAAGATTGCCAATGATTACTTTCAACGTCTCCAAAATAGGTATGTTTATATGAATAAAAGGAATATTATATAATGATTGATAGAATCTGGTTAATCATTATATGTGGTTGTGGTTGCAACAACATTACCGGAGTCAATTTTTACTGCACCAGATGTGCATTTTGATTAATTATGTATCATGAAGGATGTTAGAAGTCAAATAATTTTTTAGATTATCTAATACAAACGTTGAAGAAGTACCAAAATTAAAGCCACACTTTGACAAGGAATCAGCAAATTATGAAGTTTACTTTATCGTATGGTATCTCCTATAAGGAATCTGGGTAATTGGAGACACTGTAATGGTATTCATGTTACTGTTACAACTTATAATTGTTGTACACAACTGAATATTTCGTATGCATGAATACATAAGCAATCCGTTTGTTGAAAAAATTGTATGAAATTTGAATGATCATGCGATTATCCAAGAATTTGAATGCATAGACATTCAATAGTAAACTATAAATGCATTACTAATGGCCTAGTTCAGTTTGGCATTGGAGGCTAAACATAAACTTGATGGAATTCAAAACTTTTATTTCACATTTTTGTCATTCATTTAGGTTCACTGTTAATGTAAGACAACAGTTCAACCCTTCTATAACAACCACAAGCAAAGTTAGGAAACTTTTATTAAAAATTCATGGCCCCTAGATAGTGTAATTTCCTGTGACCTTGATCTCATATTACGGGTAGGGTGATTACATCTAATTTTCATTGATGAAAATTAAACCTTTTATCAAACTTTAAAAGAAAAGTTGTCAGTAACTAACATGTAGACTTGTATGTTTCAAGTCATGTTAGCTTACCTGACCCTAACCCCCTCGAAGTTATGTTGTTCATGAAATGATAACCTATAACCTTTTACAATTAACCCTAAAACTATCTTACTTAAAATTGTATGAGTAATGTTTGAATAATCCCTTTTTTAAATTTCTGATATAGTTGAAATATATATGTCAGACACAATTCCTGATTCTGATTTGTCAAATACGCTCTATAAAAATCACCTTGTCTCCTTCCCTTTAACTATCTGCACATCTGCACAACATTTTAGAACCAATAAACCAAAAATTTTAATGTCAAAAAAATATTGGCTTTCTTTTGATTTAAAAAAAGAAGGTCAAATTATTCAATAAAGATTATGTGGTTAACACAAAATTTTCAACAATATGTTAGCGTCTATAGTTCAGCTACAAATCATCCTGGATCTAGAAAGTTGTGAATAAATCTAACACAGACTACCAGAAATTATGCGAATGGTATTGAAATTCACAAATGAAAAGAATAAAGATAACACTGCCAAGATCCTAGAGATTTCAAAACAAGCACCAACACATGGCGTTTTTTTTTATTGAACCTTACATTGTTAACTGTCTTACACCTTTATTTCTTGTCGAATTTTTAAAAAGTTTATATTAACATGTAAAATAACAAAAAATACCGAAATCCAAGTAAAATTCAGACATAAATTCCCTTATCAAATGGAAAAATCAAAAGCTCAAAAGGATTCTATCAGTAAGGTCTTGACAGAGAGCCGACCAAATATCTTACAAGATTTATTCACCTTGGAAATAGAAATATATATGGGAAATAACATTGTTAGTAACTCATGTCTACATTTCTTGTCAGATATTTATTAAAAAGTATTTTTTTCTAAGTATTGCCCTTGGCCAGATAAAATATGTTCAACACGGGGACGTTCGAACGCTGCTCTTATATTTTGTAACGTTTCCTATTCGAAGAAAAGATTGTAGAAATCTAAAAACTTTTAAATGTCTCATTTAAATATTGCTTCTGTGAAACTCAATATAATACGTTTTTGAGGTTCAATACAATTGAATTCTGATGAAATTTGTACACAATGTCTGCATAAAGTTAATGGAAACCAGTTACACTCTTTATAACCATTATGAAATATTTCAGTAATGAGAAGAATTTTGAAATCAAAGCAATAATGGTGGACGCTTTTGCAGTATTAAACACAAACAACAGTCAGAAGTTGATTGTCAAGTTAGTTATTTTAGCACCAAAACCAGAATACAAATTGTTTCAGAGATTTTTTATCCACGTGGCAGGAATGGAAATGCCTCCACATCAGGTATTAAGTTTATAAGTAGTACTAATAAAAAAGGAAGTTTATAATGAAGTGAAATAATTGTAATTTTAGCTCAGTACTTTGCATGGTGTCCATTTTCAAAATGTCAGTTGTTGGAAGTCCAAAACTTTTTAATGTGTAGTTTTGTAGTAAGCAGTCAGATGATATATATGAGTTAGTCCAGTTTACCCTTTTTAAAAATGATTACATCCCAAAAATAGTTTTATCTTGTGTTGTAAGCATTGAACTAATATTTGAAATATAACTGCAAGATGAATACTTGCAGTACATATGAGTTAAATTCTTGTTGATTTACTGTTTTAAAAATTACAACCATGGGACTCAGGAAACTTTAGACTTCCTCTGGTATCGTTGTGCCAACACTAGTAAACATATTTTAATCTGAAACTGTCATTTTGATCTGAGCAGTTCTTAAAAGACTGAACAATAAATGATAACTTCATTTTAGGTTTCAGTAAATTTTCAGACTTATCCACTACGGTAAATTCAGTAATTCGCTTGCAGTCTAATAAGAAGTGTTCCGTCTATGTTTAGACTGTTCAGTAGTTGTTTATCTGTTCAGATCAACTATTTACTGAATTGTCTGAAATGCAACTCAACAATACTGAATTGACTGCAAGCGAATGGTCTGAAGAGAACTGAATTTCCTTCAAACGAATCGTATGAATAGTACGGAACTGACTGCAAGCGAATCGTCTAAACAGTACTAGATTTACCACAATTAATATAACCTGAAAATTAATTAAAAGACTGAACATGACTTCATGATTTATTTTTCAGACTTTTCATATAATGTCAAGATCAAAATGACCGTTTCAGACTAAAATTCGTTTACTAGTGCAATATTTAGTATTTCAATACTCCATCCCAACAAGAAGATGTATTATATATACTGGTTTATCCTTGTCTGTCTGTCCATTTTACATTTCTTTTGCACTCATGTAAGCAACTACAAATCTTCATCATGTATTGCACCAAGCTTCATCTCTTTATGACATACATATATATACTTTCTAAGATTTTCTGCTTCCCGCTGTTGCCCAAATCTTAGATGCTTTTCTATAAAATGTGTAAAATATATTTTTGAAACGGGAGTAGTACTTTAAAGTACATGATGTTGTGTAATGAGTTACATATTTTGTATAGATTTTGTTCAATATACAAGTAATTACATTTCACTCAGTTGTATAAAAGTTTATATATCGTTGACCTACCTTAAATCATTTGAGTGTACTGTGGAACACTACCGTGGAACAAAGCCTCATTGAGCTATTGCCATCATTCGGTATCCATAGTTGTAAACTCCTCTGATCTCACCCGGCAGATCTGAATCAACATTCCCCACAGTCGTCCTTCGGGGATCTAGTTTCGAAATTGGGTGATGTATGGCTGCCAAACAAAAGTTGTGCCTACACTGCTAAAACAGAACATAGAGGTAAAATCATATTTTTGGTTGTCATCTCAATATAACAGACTTTGAAAAGCTGCCATCATATAACATTTAATATGAAGTGCATAATCTACACATGTGTACCATTCTTCATAGTAGTCGGAAATCATCAATCAATTTTTTAAAAGACCATTTTTCTTGTTTTTGTCTCGCCTACGAAGCATGTCACAGAATATGTTAGAAGGTAGAAGACTTTGATGCATCTTACCTTGAGTACTAGGATAATTTGGTATATGGGATCCTTGCAAGGGCTTCATGTCCATCAGACAGGGTGCATCTGGCATCGACCAAATTTCATGGAATAGTGATCAAGATTAAAGTTAAGTTCGTTTTTCAGATACTATATGCGTATGTCAACTATATTTGGTGTATGGAATGATTGTAGGATGTACCTGTTGGTCTAACAGATTTCATCTGACCTTGAATTTTCATGGTTTATTGGTCAATGTTAAGGTTGTTTCATAGATACATTAAGCAATTGGTCAACTATATGTGGTGCATGGAATGATTTTTAGGTGTATTTTTGTTTGGCAAGTATCATATTTTGCAGTTCACTTCCTATGGAAATTTTTTGTTAAGATGGCATGGTGTCCTATTTATACATTTTTTTGTTGTCTATTATCATAAAAATTATAATAATGATATCTCGAGATAAAATTTAAATAGCAAAAAAAAAGGATCATCAAGTCAAGATTTACAAATAAAAGAGAGGCGAAAGATACAAAAGGGATATTAAGCCTCCCACATAAGTCGAAAAAAAACTGACAACGCCATATAAAAAAAAACGAAAAACGACCAAAAGACAAACGACCGAATACAAACACAGTATACAAAACATAACATAGGAAACTAAATACTGAGCAACACGAATCCCACCAAAGTCTGGTATGATCTCATATGCTCCTTATGTGCTTCAGCATAATTGGTATTGTTAATAACTTTAAGAAGCAGTTGTTGTCCTTAGATCATCATGTTTACCAATTTTTACTTTTGGCGATTATCTTGAAAACTTTGTGAGAGAAAACTGTTTAACAGCAAAATTTACGAAGAAAAATCTACAAAAAATTTCGATGACCTCCATATTAGAGTTAGTACACATACCTTTTGAGCATTTGTCTTGAAAGAAATATGAACAGCAAAAATTACTATAAACACAGATCTACAAATAAGTAATTGATGGAAGTAAAAGCAACTTGCTTATAATAACTTCATTTGATCCCGTCGGTAATCTCGTTATTGATTTGGAGTCATACGTTGGGAGGGTTGGCGGATAGGCAACTGATGACAAAAATATAGGTCAAATTCGATATTGGCGATTTTCACTTTTGCTTTTCAGGAGTGATGGTCCTTCATTGTTTAAAAAAATGTATTAAAACCATTTGCTGTAATTTTGACAACCCGTTATTTGTAAAACTATTTTATAATACTAAACTTTCCAAGTGTGGGAATTGATCCTTATTAAAATGAAACAAAGTAACTGTTCAAGAAGAATTGATATATTTTTATTCATACTTTTTCAGAGTGTTATAAAAGTGTTAGAAGATATAGTTTTTCACAACGGAACATTTACCAACGTATCATTTGACAAACACATTTACAACTCTGCTATGTTGACTCTTGGATCTGTAGTACACAAATTATCCAAAAAGGGACAGTCAAAAATATCTTATGAAATCTCCGGCAAGATCCATGGAATGCTTGGATTGCATGGTATGTACTATTCAACATCTTTAACATTAAATGAGGAGTTGTTTTGTGTGAAGTGTCTTAAACCACAGGATCAAATTAATCAGTATGATTCTTCTTGTTTCCCAAAACTTATTCACCCTTTCTCAAAAATGGTTCAGCTCCTCAACCTAAAACCATATATATTCTTTATTACCATTCTACTTCACCTCTATTTTTGTTTCTTGGGACATGCACCACCCTTCGTATCATTTATTGTTATTTTTTTTTAAAACAGTTCAGATACCATCCCTAAACTTGCATATTGTTTAGTTGTCATGACAAAACCTTATCAATGTATAATATATTTTGTCCCCTGGGGTCTTGCCACGCTCCCATTATACCTTGAATTATGGAAATAATTTGACTTATCAAAAAAAAAAAATAACCATTTATATTCTAAATTGCCATGATATAGCTTTTCAACTGCAGCAATTGCTTTTTTCCAGGAGGATCATGGCTCGCACATTTCATAGTTTTAACCCACGCAAAAATATATTCAAATTTTACCCGATCTTATCTTTTGTTCCCATGAATCCATAAAACATAGAACTTCACATCAAACGTGAATGGTCTGCGACAAACTTTTAAAAATGAAAGAACAATGCTTTAATTGATGTGTTGCAGCCTTCTGTTTTCATCTTATTAATCAAAGATCTCATTTAAAAAATGTAGTTTTGCCGTTTTCATTGTCAATCATATATAAATATATAAATGGTGTTATCCAATAATTGTAGACATTTCACATTTTTCATTTCACATTTTACACAGTATCAAATTTCATATTGGTTGCCTCTGCTTTAAATTTGTAGGTTGAATAGACTGTAAGGTACTTTATATTACAGATCCTTGGGAATATAGGCAAAAAAGATCTTTACAAACAGAAGAGGAAAAAATAGAATATGACCATCGCCGTGTCATACTGCTGGAAGCTCTTGGAAATGCAAGAATTGATCACTCGTATGACTACATTATCTCTCATATCAATTCTACTAACTCTCCGTGGATAAAAAGGTCAGGAATTCATGCGCTTAGGAAATATGAACATGAATATGTAAGTAATAAAACCAACGATATAGATTGATTCTATGAATTGTTTAATTATACAACTAGCAATAACTAAGGTATTTTTTATAAGAATACACAATGGTAAAAGACAGATAAAAATTGTAAAATTTATCGTAATCCATAAAACATTAAGACAGTTTCATGGAAAAAATGCTGAGAATGTAAAAATCTACTTACTTTTCATTTCCATTAAAATTTTCAGTCTCTTGTCAGTTTTCTTTCAACTTTTCCAAAAATCTCCTTCTCTGTATTTACCAGGCCAGTTTCAACCATACTTGACCACACTATCTAATTTCAAAATTTTGTCAGATCAACGTTTTTTCCATATCTTGCACATATTGTAAAAATTATAATAGGTATAGAAAAACTGTTAACTGTAAAAATCATCAATGAAATATTATCTACTATTAAGTCTGATGACTGATATTGTAAGCTGACAGTTTATAGTAAATACTGCATTAACTTAACGAATTTTACAAATGTTTGGTATATTTTCCAATTATCTTGAAATAATAATAGAAAGAGAGAAACTATAACAGACAAATGACTCAAACAATACTGAAATTGTTAATAAACTCATTTAAGAACTTATTGCTCTTGAATTACATATCTATAGATATCTCTACCTTAATAAAATTATACCAGATATCGCACTTGAATGGAACAATTCATGAGGGTAGGAATGCCCTTTAACGTCAGACGCTAAACGGTCATTTTCGGCTACCGTAAGCGTCAATAGTTAAAATATCCTTATCGTGACTCGTAAGAGGTTTCAAATAATTATCGTTACCGTTATTTTTGGAAAAAATTTAACGTGATTCGTCAAAATTTATCGATTTTTTCATCGTCTCAAAGAAAGTGTACATTTTATCGTCATGCGTCAAAAATTACCGTTAACGTCATTTGGCAAGATTTTTTTACCGTTATTCGTCATAAAGGTACACCCACTACAACCCTCATTCATTGGTGATCAACTGCCTGTTTACCAAATACTATAGCGGGATATTATTTGTGAGCAATGACGCACAATTTCAAGCCTTATAATTTTGTCACCAAACGCGCTTATCGTCTACAAATTACTCATCAGTGCCACTCAAATCTAACTAGAGGATCCAAAGAGCCTGTGTTGCTCACATAGATCGATGTTCATCTTCAACATGATGACACTTCTAATGCTGATACTTTTTCTGTTTAAAGTTTCTCTCTTATCTTTTTTAGTTTTTGTCTTAAAATACAAACAGAGTAAAGAATATATAACATATGACATATAAGGACAATCACTCCTATAAACAGTCTACTAAAGATTTCGTCAAAGTTTGACTTATTTGGAGTCTTGTCCTCCTGATCATTTTTTACATTTAAGGTGGCTCTCTATCTATAATAGTTTTCAAGATAAGCGACCGAACACTAAAAATGTGCAAAAATCTCCATTAAAAAGCAATAACTCCAATAAGAAGTAAACTGACAATTTAGAACCATCCATTTATTAGTATATGATATTGCTGATCATTTTTGCTTATTTGAGGTTTTAACTATCTATTATAGTTTTCCAGACAAAAAACACATAAAAATTGGTAAAAGTCGTCATTAAAGGGTAACAAATCCAGTAAGGGGACATCGTACGATTTCAACTATGTAACTTACTTGTAGAAACTGTGTTGCTGATCCTTTTGTTTATTTAAGTATCTATCTATCTATTATAACTTTTCAGATATTAGGCAAACCTGCCAAAAATGATAAAAATCGTCATTAACGGGCAATTACTCCAATAAGGCGTCGTCTGACGATTTCGACCATTTCACTTGTTTTAGATTGTTTCTTGCTGATCGTTTGCGCTATTCAAAGTTTTATAACTTGTTTAATTTCAAGACAATAGGCAAAAATGACAACAAATTGTTAAAATTGTCATTTAAGGCCAATAACTTTTATAAGATGTAAATAGACAATGGGTAGATCTCATCATTTTGAACATTTCTGCTTCTGTCAATTTTTTTCTATTTATTAGGGTTTTCAAGATAAAAGACAAAACATATAGTTTACCCCTATGTTCTATTTTAAGCCATGTTGACCAGGTTGGTTGACAAGTGGTGCCATCGGACACATTTTTTAAAACTCGATTCTCTATTGATGATTGTGGCCAAGTTTATTTAATTTAGCCAAGTAGTTTGAGAGGAGAAGATTTTTTTAAAAGTTAACGACGACGGACGACGGACCCCAAGTAATGAGAAAACCTTACTTGGCCCTTCGGTCAGGTAAGCTAAAAAGTAAAAAAGCCAAAAAAACGTACAAAGCTGAAGAGCATTGAGGATCCGAAAATTGGAAAGGTTTTGCCACATATAGGTAACTTAAGGTAAACTACTATTCCACTCTAATACTTCTTTTCGGAAAGGCACAAGAACACAACATTAGTAGAGGAACAGCCTAGGTGAAGAATTTGGAATTTAATGTGCGCTATGGTTTTTGAGAAGCTGTATGTAAATATTTCTTGGATTCATTATGTTCCTCTATGGAAGTCATATCTTCAATTCAAAATCGCAAATACTCATATAGGATCATCGCAGTTACATAGTGTTTAAATATGCGAGACAACTGCTGATAAAAAGCTTTACATTTGTATTTCTCAAAGCTCTATGTTAGACTGTGTACAGTTGTGGTGGCCATCTTGAATTTGGATTGGCAACATAAACTCAAAATTGGTATAAGGCTATCTATGGATAATTTTTACAATATTAAAAAAAAATATGCAAAGAATTTCCAAGAAGATCTTTGCAATTTCAGGTAATAAAAATACATTTTTTCTCCTTGCAACAATTATAAATTTCAGATGTATACCAAACAATGCTTTTATTGTGTGTCTAGAAATGTTCTCTGACTTGACTTCCAAGGACTGGTTGAAATTATATGAACATTTTTTTCTAAGAATATAATATTAATTTTAATAAAATGGTAAATTCAATTCATTTGTTCATCATTAGAGATTTATAGGAGAAAAAGGAAATATGAAACATAAAATTTAATATCATGACCATAGAATTGAATTTATTTGAAATGTAGAATCAATTTTGTTTAAAATATTTGTATTGGAAACAATATAGATAATGAACCTTGCAAGAAAGGGGGTTTCGTCCCTTTACATACATATGATGAATAAATGAATGACCATTTGTACCAGGGACTCTACAGTAGGCAGTACAAATGGTTAAAAGTGTGTGCCAAAAACATCTGGCATCATACAAGTATTGCAAAAAGCAGTTTTGTATATTTAATTATGCTACATTTGTTTGGCTGTCTGGTAGACACAGAATGTGAGGTTCGAATGGGAATAGAATGTTTTAATATCTCAGAACAGTTAATGTTATGCTTCAATAGTACCATTTGCTGACATTTTTTTAAAAGAGATTCATAAATAGATTATGCAAAATATTTCAACCATCTTACCTTACAGTTCATATCATGCGCATGTAGATAAGGGTGGCATGTTGTCAAATCCTGATTCCATACAGAATGTATATGCATAACAATAAACCGAGCTCAATGCAAAGAACGTTATATCTACACATAGACAGAGAGCCCAATCCAGTGATATACTTTGTAAAACTGGCCATAATCATGATACCATGTAACTAGAATTTTCACTGTTTATTACCAAACTGCATGGAGATTCTGAAAAATAAAGCAATAAAATCTATAAGATGTAGAATATAAAGGATAATAGTAATGGCGGTAAAAATAGTAAATATTAATTGATTATTGGTATCTTAACGACACTATTAAGGGTAGTTTTTATTTAAGAAGGAAACCGGAGTTCCACCGACCTTCGATAGGAAAACTGACAGTCCTAGTCAATTGAGATTGGAGTGCACACGCACGAGCAACCTCAGTGTTGACTGGCTAGTGATTACTTTTATAACTACTTAGACCACAAGAACACCGATGTCCCTTAAAAATGGTAAATACACAAGATGACTGCATTAAAATATTTTAGTTTTCTGTAAATCAGCGATATATTCAATTTCAATTTATATTTCTTTACTTTTAGCAAACAGAAGAGCCATATTGTTATGTCCCTATCCCATTCGCAATGAGTGTCAAAATTTTACAAATCTATTCTACATTCAACATTTAATAACTTATTACGAGGTCAAATAAGCTTATATATAATTACTTACTTGTTCATTATTTTCTAATTTCCTTCATTTGCTTGCTGTAATTCTAATTAAATATCCTGAAACATGTGAAATAAATGATGAAATTTCATACATTATTGTAATCAGTATCACATTCACTTTTCTTTGTAGAACATTTTAACTAGTGTGCTTTATACAGGCTTCTGCGCTTGAAAAAAGCTTTACATAAATATTCCGGACGCCATCACGAGTGGTTGACCGTTATGGAATATCCGTTTCACAGATAATAGCGAATATCTTCCAAATGTCGTGTCTACAATCCCGTCCCCTTTTCCCTGAATGATAATTCTACCGATTTAGACTTATTACAGGGATTGTACTAACACGAGTAACACGACGGGTGCCACCTGTGGAGCAGGATCTGTTTATCCTTCCGAAACACCTGAGATCACCCCCAGTTTTTTGGTGGGGTTTGTGTTGTTCGTTTTTTAGTTTTCTATGTTTTGTTTTGTGTAACATTGCTTGTCTGTTGGTCTTTTCTTTTTTGCCATGGCGTTGTCCGTTTATTTTCGACTTGTTAGTTTGAGTGTCCCTTTGGTATTTTTCGCCTCTGTTTTACAGACATTACATTCGATTGAGCCATTGCTTTGTTGCTTTTTCAGATGTCTTAATCAACCATTTTCTACATAAAGAAATGCCTGTACTAAGTCAGGAATATGACAGTTGTTTTCAATTCGTTAGATGTGTTTGAATTTTTGATTTTGCCATTTTATAAAGGACTTTCCGTTTTGAATTTCCCTTGGAGGTCGGTACTTTTGTTATTTTACTTTTTAATACTCCACGGTGAAAAACAAATGATTTGTTACATATACTGCACATGTATTTCGAGCAATCTGCTATATGTTCCACTATTTAACGCACCTTTAAAAAGTATTCAAGTAGAAAAAGGAAAAACTAAACTAACAACTTCATTTTCCGGCGATGCTGAAATTTTAAACAATATAGCATCAGAAATAAATTGCATTTGAAATATAATTTCAGGCAGCAAATGCTTTGTTAGATGCTGCATTATTTGATGATGACCAGAATGTTAGGTATGAAGCCTTACTACAATATCGATCTCATCCAAAGTCAAAAGTGATTGAACCATTGGATACTAGGTAATACTTAACATTAGGGAAAGACTCAAAGCTTAGTTGCTAATTGATAGGTTGAGACAATTTCATGTTGTAGTTAACAATGTGCTGTTCCCCTCACAAAATCGTATTATCTAATTCAGTGTCCAATATATGTCCATTTAGGTTTAAACTAGAATGCATTAAAGAAAATTTAGACACAGATCAAAAGAAATTGTTCATCTCCGCTGAGTACATGCTTAATGGAAGGCGTTTGAAGGGAAAATTGAACTATTATGTCAAAAAGAGAAAAAAAATAATGTAGATGTAAACAGACCTATCATCCATTCCAGGGATTATCCTTCAGTGCAACCCAATTGTGATGAACATTTTATTTCTGAAATGATTCACAGGCTTGTAAATTTTTTTAGATTTGTGCTAGTTTGGGATAATGTTAAAAAATTGGAAATTAATTATTGTGATTTCAGTAAATGCTGCATACAAATAATACTTTCAACATTTTAAGTTCGAGGTTTTGTTTTTTCAATACCTATTCAGTCGCAATATCCACATTGATAACATTTTAAAAAATTCAGAATTAACAGCATTCCGCAAATTTATATACCCAAAATGAATTGAAATCAAACATTTGCTTTTGAAAGCACCAGAGGGTAATATAGGTGAAAGTTTACAAAAGAATTATGAAGGTCTTAAGGTCATCCTTGTTGACGAAAAGTCCTTGATTGGTTCATTAACCTTTGGATGGACGGAATTTCTGTGCAGGTATTGAGTTTAGATTGGTCAAAATATAGCTGAAACATGAGAGGGACTTCAAGAAGAAGTGTTTTATGAAGATAATGTATAGCTACCACCAATATTAGACTCTTCCGTTTAAATACTAAGGGAAAACTACCAGCAAGTTTGCGTGATGTTCTTGTGTTGCAACATTTCATTTGTGCTGCTTATTTACATCAAATAGTAAGGCAGGCTCATTCCCAGCAACACTTGAAGGGGATTCTTTTTGTCATACGGGAACATATAAGCACATCAGATCGATCAATTTCAATGGAAAAATTTGGAGGTAAAATAAGGTTAAGGTTTTACAAAGGAATGTCCGAGAAAGGTATCTTAATATTTTCACCACTTGATGAGGTTTGAGGTCAAAACAAACCTGATAGTAGTTAATTATGAGCATCCAATTGCCAAAATGAATGCAGTATGTCATTGTTATCATTCGAAATCACCAATCGCAGTTTTGGAATAATACAAATTTTGTTTACCAAACAAAACTAAAAGCACATGGCAAAATGGATAAGAGAAAACGGAAACGTCTAGGGGAGAAATGAAATGATTGATGCATTTATTGATAGTTAGAAGCAGATTGAATATTGCTTTGTCCATTCTAAAATAAATCGTGATGTTCACTGAAGTTCTTGAAGGAGAGTGTTGAAGGTTCTCGGTGTTCTTTTATTAAGCAGATTATTGTTCACCTTCATCCGACTCTTTTACGATTTCTAATTCGTCTTCTCTAATGGTTTTTACACAGAATATTCAGTGAACAATCAGGAAAAAATGTTCTTTTTGGAAACATTGTACTCCTTTCTTTTCTTTGACCAATTTATTTATGATTAGTAACTTTAGCAAAAAGTGCTTGAACAAATTATCAAGAGGTGATGGGTAAGATCATAAAAGTAAAAATATATGCTCATCTACGAAATGATATATTAGAAATATGTTGATTAAATGTCTACTATGTTACGTTTCTTTCACAGGTGTGTTGGAAATAATAGTGAAACAGTTGATCCTTATTCCTCTGATATTAAAGTAGTGGGTCTTCATCTCCGAAAGAAAAGAGGATTTTTTGAAGATTTTATGAAAGGATTTAACTTTAAAATTGAACCACCTGGTGTAGATTTTAAAAAGATGTTGGGTACTAAGGATGTTGGAGCATCGTTTGGAATCATTATTAAGAACAACATGTATTTAAAAGTTGGTAGGTTTATCAGTTGACTAGTTATATTGATATACTGATATTTATCTTGTTATCTATATTCTCTAAAAATCTGAATAGACTAGACTGAAAACAAGTCTTATCCATTTATGCTTTGTAAATACCTTAACCTTAAAAATCTTGGTTTGAAATACTGTTTCTTCTTATATACATATTGTCTGTCCTTTCATTTTTTATTATACGACCGCAATTTTTTTTTGCGTTCGTATTATGTTATTGCGATGTCTGGTCTGCGCCTGAAGACATTTTGGTTCGCAGAGTATAAGTGTATGGATCCCTATGAAATTTTAGAACAAGGTTTCATTCCACTAAAGGATGGTTGGGATTGTTGTTTGGGGTATTGTCCTAGCGGTTTTGTAATAAGGGTTCAAAAAAGGTTAATTTTACAGGTTCATAGAAAATAAATTGGTTCGCAGACAATAACTTTAGTATAAGTGAATGGATCTGTATGAAAGTTTAGCATAAGGTTCCATATCACAATAGGAGGTTTGGGATTGATTTTGGGGTTTATTGTCATAGCTGTTTAGTAATTAGAGGCCAAAAAGGGGCCAAAACAATTATTTGTCTGGTTTTAAGACAATAACTTGAGTATAAGTGTATATATTTCTATTAAATTTAGCACAAGGTTTCACACCAAAATAGGAAGTTTGAAATTTATTTTGGGGGTTATTGTAATTGCTGTTTAGGAATAAGGGGTTCCCAGACAAAAACTTGAATATAAGTGTATGGATCTTTACTAAATCTAAGCACAAATTTCTATACCACAATAGGAAATTTCGGATTCATTTTGGGGGTTATTGTCGTAGCTGTTTAGTAATTAGGGGCCAAAAGGGACCAAAAACAATCATTTTTCATGTTTCAGGACAATAATTTGTGTATAAGAGTATAGATTTTATGCAATTTTACCACAAAGGTTCCATTCTTCAAAAGGAAAGTTGGGATTTTTTTGGGGGGTCATTGCCCAAACCGTTTTTTTGGGCTAAAACAACAAAATGATTTTGGAGGTTATTGTCATAGCTGTTTCGTAATTAGGGCCAGAAAGAGGCCAAAAAACAATTATTTGTCTGGTTTTAAGACAATAACTTTAGTATAAGTGTATTTATCTCTATTAAATTTTAGCACAAGCTTTCACTCCACAATAGAAAGGTTGGGAAAAATATTGGGGGTTATTTTCATTGCTGTTTAGGAACTAGGGGCCAAAAAGGGCCTAACAAAAACAATTATATGTCTGGTACCACTATAGAAAGTTTCGGATTTATTTTTTTGGGGTTATTGTCGTAGCTGTTTAGTAATTAGGGGTCAAAAACAAGCATTTTTCATGTTCCAGGACAATAATTTGTGTATGAACCTCTATGAAATTTTACCACAAGGTTTCTTACTTCAAATGAAAAGTTTTTGGGGGTCATTGCTCAAACTGTTTAGTAATTAGGACCGGAAGAGGGCCAAAAACTAGGATTTTCTGATATCTGGACAAAAACATGTAATGAGTATAAGTCTATGGATTTCTAATTTATTTTGCCACAAGGTGTTATACCATAAAAAGAAGGTTGGGATTGATTTTGGGGGTTATGACCCGAACGGTTTAGGAAAAGGGGACCAAAAACAACACTTTTGTAATACTTTGAATAAACTGCTTATTTCTTAACCAATTTCAATGGAGTTTGATTCAAATTCTTGAATTATTGGGGTTCTTTAAAATGCTGAATCTAACCGGGTATTTAGAATTTGTAGTTTGGGCCCTGTTTTTGAATTGATCCATATTAAGGTCCAAAGGGTCCAAAATTTTACTTTTTTTTGATTTCATACAAAATTGAATGATTGGTGTTGTTTGATATGCTGAATCAAACCGTGTATTTAGATTTTTAATTTGGGGCCTGTCTTCAAATTGGTCCACATTAAAGTTCAAAGTGTCCAAAATTAAACTTTGTTTGATTTAAAAAAAAAATGAATTGTTGGGTTTTTTTTATATGCTTAATAACTAAGCGTGTATTTAGAAATTTGATTTTGGACACATTATTCAAGTTGGTCCAAATTGGGTCAAAAATTAAACTTTGTTTGATTTCATCAAAAATTGTATTATTGGTGTTTTGTTGATGTGCCCAGTCTAACAGTGTTTTAGATTTTTGATTTAGGGCCCGTTTTTCAAATTCATCCATATTAATTTGCATTAGCTGTCAGGTTCATGTTCACCGATTTGACTCAAATTCTCATATTTGGTTTATGATATACTAAAACGTATTTCCAAATACAAAAAGTCTAAAATTAACAATAAACAATGCATGCACTTCATAATATGTATCAACATTTCGTGTCTATTGTTGTCTAATTAACCATCGATATGACCTCCGAAGACTGCCGATGGTCATATAACCCGATATAAACATAAATATAAATTTAAACAGATAGTGACCACGTGCAATTGGATTTTTCTTAGTCTGTTTGATTTCATATCTTAGGTTAAAAAGTATCTTTATCATCGTTGTTATCAGTTAAAGAATGATTTTTTTTATCGAATCAGTCAACCAAATGGTTCATTCTTGTTTCACTTTCAATGTTGACATTCTTTTCCTTGAAAACTGAATGTATGCGTAACCCATGTCTAGCTAAGGGTCAAATTGAAGGTCACATGAATACGGATTCAATGAGGTCGAATTATTCACTTGCAAGTGAATAATTCATCAGGGATGTTTCTTAGCTTTTTTTTTGACAAAATTGAACCAAATTGGCTGCTAAATGCGAATTATTATTTCACTATTTCACTTTCATTTATGATTGAACAAAAAAAAATAATATTTTGATTTTTTTCATATCTCGTAGCTAATGCCCCTTTAAACACACTGTATTGATTGTGAATAATGTTTTTGTTATTCTGTATAAATCAATTTTGAGAATGTTACATATATATGTTTTTATGAAGCAAACCCCTTTAAAAACTAATATTGTCCTTTTACAAATAAATAAATTAAATTGTTGGTGTACTAAGATATTATCGTAAATTAATAAATAGATGAATTAAATTATTGGTGTACTTGGATATGCTGAACTAAACCGAGTATTTAGATTTTGGATATAGGACTATAATAGGTAAAATCCAATTTCAACGTTCTATGACCACATTTGTTCTGTGACAGAAACCTATGATGTGTCAAATATTTAATCACAATTCAAATTCAGAGTTGTATCATACTTGAATGTAGTGTCCATACTTGCCCCAACTACTCAGGGTTCAATCTCTGTGGTCGTTTTTCCCGCTGCGCCTTGTGAAGCATGTTATATCTTTTGTGAAGAGGTAGACTGTGTTTTTGAAATGAGTTTTACTGGCATTATTGTATCTCTTTTTTTTTCTCAAAAAGTAAATGATATACTTTTACAGCATTTTTCACTTTGCTGACCATATATTTAATCTCAATCACTGGTATCTATATAGTTTTTATAAATTTTAAATAATGACATGTGTTCATTTAGCATAAATCCTTTGAAATTTAGAATTAAGATCAAATCATTATACTGTCTTTTGTGTTTAATGTTCACCTTTGTTAATATGATTAAGTTACCAATCATTTACATTCTATACATGAGTTTGAATTTTTCTTTTATAGCTCCCCTTGGTAGCGCCTTCAAAGTTGATATTCACGACGAAGCATATGCAAAAGTACATCTTGGTATCATTAATAAAAACCTGGATTTCCTTGTAGCAAGATTATGTTTTAAAGGAGATACTTCCTACAATTTGGACTTGTTTCAGGTATTTGTTTTGACTCTAAATTATGACTATTTGTTATGAATATGCTTTAAATATGTCGGTTTGGGTTGTTCACCCAATTTGGTAAATATAACGGAACTATAAACAACTGTCTAACAAGTGGGAGGGTTAGCTAGCTTATAATCCTGTTTTCATTAATCATTTTCTTTGGACGATGTCTGTACCAATTCAGGAATATGACAGTTGTTTTCCATGCGTTCGAGATCCATTGGTTGAAAAAGAATAACGTTTAGGTTGTCATTTTTTATGGAGTGCCTCTTTTTGAATATACCTTGATATTCTGTATTTTAGTTATACTTTTTGAATTATTCCGTGTGCATAAATTGTTTGTTCTAAATTTATGCATATGATCCGTATGACCTGCATATATCAAAGATATTTTACTCTTTATCCAATATAGTAAATGTAGCTTGTAAACCGATGTGCATTAATTAATTCCCATGATTAGAAGTACCCAGAGAACAAAAGGAAATAAAACGGGATCTCAATATCTTTATTCCAAGTGAAAGGATATTGCTGAAAATGGTGGGTTGATGGAAATAAAGCTTTCGTCTGTCCTACAGAGGGTTAGTTCTTGGAGTTATAAATTCGTTGAGTAAAATAAATAAGGAATCGATAGATGTATAATTTATCATTTATCTACTCGAAAATGGGTCTATTACACAGCTGTCATTCAGTATATCGAGAGAAATTATCGTGAAAGAAAAAATAACGGTTGTCAAGTATTGCACTGTTATCATGACATATCTGGAATAGGACAATGAAGACAATCTTATCGCGAAAACATTAGCAAGATTAATAGATAATCTAATTTATCAAGTTATAAAGGCAAATATTGAAAATTTTTTTTTTTTGTCTAATTCATAGTTCATCATTATGATCAGTATCTGCCAAAATCTGAGTTAAACAGGTCACCCTATAAGGCAGGTTGCTCTTCAACATTCCAATAACAGGAAAAGTAGAATAAAAACTAAATTTATTCATCATATGAATGACTAAGTTAATATTCTATAAACAGTGTTGTTCGTTATTAATGTTTAAAAAAAGGCTCTTAATATTATTTTGTAGTAGCATACTAAGTGTGGAAAAATAAGAACATTTATATAAATTTGATATTTATGATCATGAAAGATCGGTTCCACTTTTTTTGTGATCGTGAATAAACCCACAAAAGATCAGGTATTGCTTATTTGTCATCGCAAAAATCAATGAAAGCTTTCAAATCGTTGTGTAATTATATGACAATTTATCATTGTAATTGGTACAGCAGAAGACTAAACTTCCATCACTTTTTCCGACTCACTTTTATTGCAGAATCAAACTATGCGGCTATGACGGTTATACACTACCAAGAATTTACCCACGTTTTTTTGGTACATTTCTACCCTCGTACATATCAGTACTGTTTGTTGAGACTAAAAATTTGTAATGTTATACTTTCTATTATTTCAGTACTGTTCATTATTATACAATAACTGTACCGTAACTAATTCTATAAATTCAGTACTGTTTTTTTCAGTACTGTTTCAGTACTGATTTCGTCAGTACTGTTTCAGTACTGATTTTGACAGTACTGTTTCAGTACTGATTTTGTCAGTATTGTTTCAGTACTGATTTTGTCAGTACTAGTTCAGTACTGACTTCGTCACTAATGTTTCAGTACTGATTTTGTCAGTAATGTTTCTGTACTTATTTTGTCAGTATTGTAATTGTACCGATTTTATTAGTTCTATTATTGTACTGATGTTTGTCATTTGCTTTTTTAGTAAATACTTACCTTTTAGTGCGCACCTTATCCATATATCAAAAATAGTTGTTTCTTTAGGTATAGCTGTAGCAGTCGATTTGGTGTGGTTTATCTTTTTAATCTGAATGCATATTGTTTCAAAAAATATTGGGAACTGAAAACTTATAAACTAAGTAAGTATAGTATGGTATATTGTGACATGTTGGTGACTCTTTTTTATTTTTTTTATATTTTGTATCTTGTGTAGACATCGCTGATTCAGTGTTGACCTCTATCATTAGAGAAATTTTGACACCTGTACATCTGTACAATTGGTATCCAAAAATAGGTTGGATAATTATGTGACTATATTATTATAATTCTTGTTTAGCTGGTTACATATTAAAACTTATGGTTTTTCTCTTCGACTATATCACTCTGCTGAGCAGGACTTTTTAGCGACGTGAAAATGATTGAGGAAAAGTATCAAGCTTACTTTCGTCTATCAAAAAACTATTGAAGTGAAGGGAAAAACAACAAAAATGAAGCAAGATAAGCAGTTTATCGGATTTTCTCAAGGGAATTGTTTACCCTTTAGAAGCACATGAATTCATTCCCGGTTTTTAGTCGAGTTGGTGTTGTTTTTTTTTATGTATTTTAACTGTTGTTGTAAATGCACTTTGGTTTTATGAGTCTTTGTTTACTCCTTGATTTTGATTGCGACTGTCTTTCTGTGTTAAAAAAAAATACGCAATCGACACCAGAGAGATTTACATTGTGGTTCGAGGCTGATATTTTACAATATCAATGTGTATAAAACCGCACAATTTATACAAATATCTAACAAGATAAGAATCTTCAATACTTTTCATTTTTGGTATTTTGCTATTGCTTAAAACATGTTGACATTAATGATTCCATATGTTAATATGTTGGGTAATGTATTGTAATTAACATAAAACAATGTCTCATATCCTTTTTTTTATCATAACTGGAATTTCTTTTATTTATCATAACAATTGTTTTAATATAATAATCTTTATTGTCAAATAAACATATGAAGTCTGTGACAAAAATGTCAATCATTTTCATGCCGATAATTTGTAAAGTTGCGATTGATTTTTCTTTCATATTTTCCTTTCAGAGTAAGAATACTTGAAATACTGGGAGGATTATTTTGAGAAAATTAAGATAATGCCTTTACCAAGTTAAGAATGTGACAGTTGTTTTCCATTCGTTCTGCTATTTGATGTGCTTTAGCGTTTGGTTTTGCCAGATGTTTATGAAATTTCCCCGCTTTTTAAAATTTTTCAGAGTTCAGTATTGTTGTAATCTACCACTACATTTTTTTTATATAACGGTGGAATAAGATTTGCACATTTTAAATCATTTAAAGAATATTTCTGTTGATATATATATATTAAGTAAAAAATATAGTTAAATTCAGCAGAAACTTAGGATACAATTGTACTATATAACCCCTTGATTATTTTATGACCCTTGTAATTAAGGTTCATAAATAAAACAATCAAAGAAACACTTAATTTTGCATGTATCATGTTTTATTGCTCTCCCCCCTTTGCCATCTTTTCTTTGGAATGCTTTATAGAATGTCAGTTTCCTGGCTGGTGTCTTTTCCTCAATTCAGTCTCACATATGATGTGTCTTGCTACATGTAGATTGGTAATTCCAGAGGACTCCCTAGTTCTAATATGAGCTCATTACAAGCATCCATCTTTTATGTTTTGGTACTTGTACGAAACTCGGAATTACATGGTTTATGATTAAATATTGTCTTTTCTGATGAATGCCATATTAAAATACATCCTTCTGTATATAGGTCTTTAATTTTCACATCGTACGTTCCCATTTCAGCGGCTGTCTTCTATGCTGTTAATCATTCTGAGAATTTATTCCTAAATAAAAAAAGCAAAATATGATAATTAAATCCATCAACCTCGAAGTATTGGTGTTTGCCAGTGACAAATATTTCATGCACATGTAGCTTTAACCATCAGTCTATTTATGTGCTCTTTATAATAATTATAACATGTCAAAAGTTTGCAGTTGATGATTAAAATGGTGTAGAAAGTTTCTGCAAGTCATAAAAACACATAATTAGTTTCATGATATGTCTTCAACTTAGTATTTTGCACCATCTCAAAAACCAGAGTGATCGCATAGATCCAGCATGGCTGAATAAAAAAATCCAAAAGTAACTAAAATTTTATTATAAAACATTTAAGGAATGATTGTAATATTTTTTCTGTCTATGAAGAAATAACATCAAAAATGTGGTGCACACTGAATAACCCGCGTAGCACCACATTTTTTATGTTATTTCGAATAGACAGAAAAAATATTACAGTCATTTCTTATAATTTAATTCTAAATTCCATTTTAAACCGGAGTAAACCATGAAAAAACGTTGATGACGTCACGGTCACATGACAAAATTATGTCTATGAGCTGATAAACAAAACAACGTCAGCCAATCAGAAGACGCGTTACATCCAAAATTAAATTATTTCAAACGAGAAAAATAATAAACAATATATAGCAGTCAATGTGGCGGGATTATATAAGTTTGTTGGCACCTGGGACAATGGTGGACTAATATCAAAATGTATCACAAATAAATGAAGCGGTAAAAAAACCCCGTCAAAATAGGAACAAGTGGGATCGGGACAGATGAGAAAGAAGTGGGAAGTGGGAAAAGAGGGTGGTAAAGGGGGCTCTGAACACGGAAACACGTGAAATAAAAATCGCAAAAACGTTGCACGGAAAATTAAAATCGGGAAAAACGAAGCACGAGAAAAACAATCGTAAATATTAAGGAAAAAGTACTAGAAGTTATTACTCAGCCGTTCTTGAAGATCATGCAGTCATTATTAATTGACATAAAGACCCTGCGGTCAACTCTTAGCGTCCACTAGTATCTAATTTGAAAAAAAAAATATTCATAGTAATTTGATCAATTAATATTCTGGGAACACATAATTCAAAACAATCTCTGACTGACTTTGAATTTAGTCCTGGTTTACTTTTTAATCAAATGTGGGACAAGCACGAGAAATTTAGAGTACCAACACGAAACACGGAAAATAAATAAGAAAAAACACGAAGCACGCACATCGAACCTAACACGAGAAAACGAGAAATAAAACCTCAAAACACGAAAACACGTGAAATAAAAAGGTCGAAAACGTTGCACGAAAATAACCCTTTACCACCCTCGGAAAAAAATACTGTGTGG